TACAAACACACGTTGGTGCCCTAGTTGTCCACATACATTAGTGCTGAGTTTTTGTTCCAGTTTTTAGACATAATTCTCTGTACACTGCTGTACAGTATTATTAAATTTTTACTTCAGAAATCTTTTCTATGTGATCACTTGTAACATCTTAAAGTAGTTTTTTGCTCCCAACTTCTTTGCACCTTTGAGTGATTGAATAAATTTTTTTCTTGGTTCCAGGTTACTCACTTTTATAATAAAGAAACAAGAAGATAATACTGTATTTAATTATCATTCATCATATTCTCCCGCTCTTTACTGTACTTTGTTCAATTTATTTTTACAATTCTTTTATGGGGGGCGCTGGTGGTAGAGTGGTACCGCTCTTGCCTTCGCAAGCGAGATGTCACGGGTTCGATTCCCGGGCAGGTGGAAGTTGTTTGGGCATACTTCCTAGCCCCCATTAGTCCCTGTTCACCTAGCAGTAAAGTAGGTACCTGGTGTAAATCAAAAGTTGCGAATTCTTATTCAGGGACAAGTTGTTGGAGCTTCCAATAACTTGATGACATAAACCACTGACTCTTCAGGCTTCTATGCCCTTGACTCTTCAGGCTTCTATGCCCTTGACTCTTCAGGCTTCTATGCCCTTGACTCTTCAGGCTTCTATGCCCTTGACTCTTCAGGCTTCTATGCCATTGACTCTTCAGGCTTCTATGCCCTTAACTCGTGAGACATAAAGGCAAGCATGAACTTAGCATGCTTCCCTGTTGGGCACTGTAAGCGCTTCTGTGCTTCACCTTACACAAGAATGTAGGGGAGTGCCCAATAATATATTAAAAAAAAAAAAAATAATAATAATAATATATATACAGTATATATTTTATGATCTACTTATTTTTCATGTCAACTGACTAGAAAGTGTGGCGAGAGGTTCTACCACTTGGTGTTGACTGGGAACCAAATGTACCCAGCCAAGGATGAATGTTTATTGGATGGTGGTCACTTGGTTGTGGTTGACACACCTGAAAAACTGGAAGAGATTATCAGCATCATCACACTAGAGGGCATGATGACGAACACCAAATTATTTTTATGATAATTCTAGTGTAAAGAATGCAGAAAAAAATTTGTAAATGGCATAGAAGATAAACTGTCAAAACGAAAATATTAACATTAGTTTCCCATACAGGACTGACCATGGTTTGGATAAATGGTGAACGGGGGGAGGGGATTCATTAGGAGACAGCAACTTCACATATAGGACACAGTACTGTATGATTTTTTTCGCCGTTTTCAGACATAAAAGTGTGTCTTATATGCCATAAAATACGGTATATTTAATAGGATCATCAGCTTCAGCTTGTCCAGTTTGTAGTCACAGCTCTTAAGTTTTTCAGGCTGGATATCAATTTTTTTCTTCTTTTCTAAATATTTTTTATATTGTCAACAACTTTCATTTTTGTTAAAAAAATGCTTAGTTCATCTGTATATATTGAGGGTAAGAATAACTTATTAATCATTTTTTATCTATTTAACAAAACATTTTACAAATATATTTTTTTTTAATTTTTACATAATTAGTATTTCATATTCAGTAGTGGATTTCTTAATGTGTCCTAAAAAAAGAAGCTGATGCAACATCAGTCTCATGTTGTGCTTTATACTGTACTGTTAAGTCCTCTGTAAGTCTTACACTGGCCTCTTTGTACACTACCGTCCAAATTCCAGATTATGGTACAGTGAGTTCTGCTATAACGCGTGTTTTGATAACGCGAATTTGCTCTAACGCGATTTATGAATTAGGAACGATATTTGTATAACGCGAACGCTTGTTTGCTATAACGCGATTTTTGCTTACTATTTCTCCAATTTTGTGGTATTAACTGTGAATATGGTAAAGAAGAATATCTCCAAGAAGCGTTCTGGTGATAGAATTCCCGGTGATGATCGTAAAAGAAAGGATATAACACTTGAAGAGAAGCTCGATGTTATCAACCTCAAAATCACCCTTCTCCCCCATCGTTACAATCATATTTTGTCAAGGTAAAGTATTACATTTACTGTATGATTTCATTATTAGATATGAATGTAACATTTATTTAGACTGTGCTATCCTTTGTGTTAGGCTAAGTACTAAATTTTTTCGATTTCGAGTAATCTGCACCTAACCCTATTTTCTCCATAAGCCCTGTTATTTCTATTACGCGATTTTCTATAACACGATATTTTACAAGAACACAATTATCGCGTTATAGCAGAACTACCTGTATACCTTACTGTTACACGAATTACTAATTCATGGCACTCTGAATGCCATATCCTGATTCTTTATGAAATAGAATTTTGACATTTGTCCCAAAAGTTAATTCTAGGAGATGTTGACTTTTAATGAAAATTTTTTTCGTATATTTTATTTATTTATTCTTTTTTTTTTTCAAATTAATGTGACGACAAAAATATGGAGTCTAGCGAGATAATTATGTGTGAGGTACGATATGTTGGGCCTGCCGATGGAGGGGAATCGGTGGCCCGAGGCAGTCGCCTATGGGTCAGCAAAGAGAGTACAGTACTCGTTCTAGCTGGATCCCCGTATATGTGTACTCAAAAAAAGGTACCAGTGATCTTGTACTACTACATTATTTACCAACCACACAATAATGTAAGACAGATAACTATTTAATGTAATGCATGTTTAAACCCACTTGGCACAGACTAAGACATACTCAAGAATCTTTACCTATAAAAAATGGAAAATCCACCGATTTCTACACTACACAGTAGTGATTATTTGAACATTAATCCATGAACATACTTACCATATATCAGTAAATAAACAGAAACTTAACGCTAAAAAACTAATCCTTCAATAGGACTTGCGAAGAACTGATGGAGACTTGCTTTGAGGAGCATGATGCAAAGTTAAGTTTAACAGTTGTGGTCGGCTGAGAGTTGCTGTGTGAGTGACTGGAGACCCATTGGCTCCCATGATCATGTTGGATGTGCCAGTCATCATTATTGTCTTGGGGTTTATTTCTGCTGTTATTATCTCTGGGGCTCCCATCACTGTTACCTTTTCAAGTAAAAATTGTTATAATTAGTATTGATAACAAATAAAAATTACACAGAACAGTTTTGTCAGGAAACACAATCTATACAGATCATATAATTTTGATACGTTATATCCCCCTACAAGTTTTATTTCCTTCAGTCATAAACTATTTTACCAGACTAATTATTGCACTGGATGGTCCGGAACATTGGAAATTCCAGAGTACCACAATGATGCGTTTATCACACTTCTTCACCTCAAAGTGCAGTAGAAACTGGCATACTTGAGCTGTCCTTGATTGAACCTCCTTCCTGTTTGTCATTGTTTGAATGCCCTCATTGTTGATGTTGAACCACCAAAAAAAGTCGTGTCAGTCCTTTCTCTCCCGTCCATGACACACTGCACCATCTATGGACCCAACACTGTGTGGTGTCTCATACTCACTGAGGATCAAGGGGTTCACTGATGGGACCGACAACATTTTTTTGTGGGTGTACATGTTATACAGATACTAATATCAACTTGTACAATATGTCATTTTTACAAAATTAATATTTTTTTTACAAGGGGATCAGTCCACCCGGGCACAGGTCACTGGCCCACATCAGGGCCTGGGGGCAAAAATATAATTACTGTATAATTATAATAATAATAATAATATCTATTATTATTATTATTATCATTACAACAATTAATAAAATTAATAGCAAATTAATAAAAATAAATAATAATAATAATAGTAATAATAATAATAATACAGTATAGTCTTGATTTACGTGGTCAATTGAACCCGTGGAGGTCCGCGTAAAACGAGAAAACCGTAAACGAAATAACAGAACATACGGAATTAATTGAAATAGAGACTGGGCCGACCCCCAAGCTACCCTTTTTCCGACACAATACGTACGTTGTAGTAAAAATAATATCTTAATTTTATGATGGTATGAACACACACATAATATATAAATAAAAAACTAACACTACTGTACAAATATGAAGGTGTTTAACACTAACGTTAGTAGAAGAGATGGGTGGGCACACGGGGATGGCGGCTAGTTCCGAGGCAGAGGGCAGATTAGTGGCCCTCCGGTGAATCACTTGTATCACTATCCACCACAGAGGTTTGCAGGGCCTCCCTGACAAACCTTTCAAAGTCCATATCGTCACTGTCACTATCACTGACTTGGGCTGGCTGTGGTTGTGGTGGATTGCGGGCGAAGAACTCGGTAATGTTACTTTGACTGCTAGCATTGATGTGGTCGTGATACATCTGGACATACGGCTCCATAAATTTCGAGAGGAAGTTATTAGACACTTCATACCGATGATTGACTGTGTCTTTGTCAAGGATGAGATTGATTTTCTCCGCCAACTCGATGACTTCCTTCACATAACCATGGCTTGGTCCAGGTAGTTCAAGGTTTCTCGGGGGTGGTGGGGGTCCAGCAGACGCCATTGTGAGGGGAATAGCGGGCACAAGAGAGAACAGTATACGCAGAGACTGAGAACAATGAGACTGGCACAGCTTAGGTCAGCGGCTTATTCCCTCTGGTGGCAGGGCACGTCATGTTACATTAGACCAATCACAGCTAGCGGCGGAGGGAGGTAAGGATGCGTGGCCCAATCACAGTCCGATACGTCATATGACGTCAGCGATATCGTAAGAGTGACCTAATGCGCACCCTCCCCGGCTGCTTCCCGCATAACTAATAATTGCCGGTCTGGCCAGGTACCGCGTAAATGACCAAACGCGGAAAGGAAATCCGCGCAAATCCAGACTACTGTATACTGTAATAATAAATAAATACAAAAATGAAAAAAGTAAATTAAGATGATTGAGAGACGATATATATTATTATGTATGTTGTGTTGTCCAAGTAAGAGAAACAATTGAGATCCTGCAATTGTGTGTAAATGAGGCAGAAAGTCAGGTCATAAACCTGGGACTTGGTCACATATGGCAGCAGGGTCTACCATTAGACAACACATTATGCTTCCAATATCTTCCCAGGCAGTAGTTCCTCTCTGTTTGGTAGCTGCTTACTACCTACTTAAACTCTATGGGGCAGATACTTGTTCTAAAATGTGAAAGGTTTGCCTTCCTGCAGATTTATATTCCTATCTGAAATACTCTTATGGTTATTGCAGTCATTAGTAGCTATAAAACTCGTGAGTCTGTCGCTAGCCATTTTGGATGTGTCCAGGAGGTGACAACATGGCAAGGAGATAGAAAAACAACATTAATCAGTGATATCCCTGTGAGCCAGAACGAGCGGTATGTGGCGGATATTATTATGGTTTTCAAGTGACCATATCTATTAGCTGTATGACCACATTTTATTAAAGGTATCATTAGTTATGGCTTTGTTTAGATTTATATGGAATTACAACGCTGGTGGTTGTACTCTCTCTGGGATCACCCTATTGTTTTACATGACAGCCTTGCTCCTTCTTCAAATAAATAATAACATGGAGATGTTTTATCCATGTCATAATCCAAGAAGAAATGAACATTTTTGGAAAACAGTATTGTGTTCATGATGACAGCAGAATACTAAAGTACTGTACATGTAACAGTTATGACCCGTAAATCAACAGCCTTCACAATATATATCCACAGAATCAATTAACTCACAGTTTGGTGGAGGTGAGTAGTTGAGAAAACTTGTGGGCAAAAACTGAAATGCAAAGGAGAAATAATGACAGTAATCCTGTGATTTTCGCGGGAATTACATTCCAGAAACCGCCGCAAAAAGCCCAAACCGCAAATACTCTTTAGGAATCACTGTACCTGTGGCCACCAAACAGCTCAGGTAGGTCATGCACTTAACCACGCCATGCTCTCCTCTCACGGCCCAGTGGTCACACTGATCACTGATGCACTGTACCGGCATTTACGAACAACATTATTTGAAACTAATCATATTGTAGTATAATAATGGAAAAATGTAAACACAGTTATATACAAAAAAAATTTTATTTACAAGTAAATACAAATGTTTATATTTCGCTGAGGTCGGCAACACCCGCATTGCCAGCCTCTCCCTGCCGTCCCGGCATCTGCCCGCCCTCACACAGTCACGCCAGCCAGTCCTCTTCCACCCACATTCCTCCACTTGAAACTTGTATTCTGACAAAAAGACACAAATGACTTGTCAGTCTTCACCACATCTCGAGCCATAGCTCATACCACCTCTGAGCTCGTCCAATAAAACTGTTTTTTCTGTTAAGGTCATCACTATTCTTGTTCTCTTGGTCACTTTAGAGTCTTTGCAAGTAATATTTGCCTTTGATGAAACTGGCTTATGTCCCGGACCATGTGGAATGCACGTGAGAGGACAAACAGAAGAGGTAATCACAGTAGCGTTCACAGTACGGTAGGCACGTGTGGACTGAGGCTTCTCGAAGCAGCGGGTGTCTGAGGCGGGAAAGGGTGGCGTCTGTTTGCCGCACCACACACGGGAATATCAAAAATGGATATTTTATATATATACAGTGGACCCTCGATTAACGAACGGTCCAATTAAAAAATTTCAGTTAACTAATTAGCTCCCATAAGGATTTTCAGTTCAATTAACGAACAAAACTTCGAATAACGAAAGCTTTACTAGAAACACGTTTTGCTGTGCGCATCAGCTGATCGGCCAGTCCGCCAATACAATAATTGGTTCTATGTTTACATTCGTTTCCAGTGGAGTAAATATCAAGAAAGTTGTGCACTTGAGTATTTTTGCATTTTTTTTTTAAATTATTGGTCATTCTAAGATATAGTTAACATATTGATAATATAGACAGTGCATAGAACAGTTTTTGTGCACCCATCAGCTGATTGAATCACCCAACAAAGCTTCTCAGCTGTTTACAGTGGAGTGAACATTGAGTTTGTTGGTCTCTTGACTATTTTCGCATTTTTACATTAAAATTATTAGTCATTCTGAAATTTAGTTCACATATTGATAATACAGCCTCTACAATCAGGTGTTTGATATGAAAACAAAGCTGCCGGTAATACGACATACACACCTCAAAGTAAGTTAAAATACAGTATTCTATTGTTTTTTATTTATTATTATACTGTACAGTATACAGTACAGGTGTACTGTACAGTACAGTTCTGTACAGTAGAAGTCCAAAAATCCGGACTGCTTGGGAATTGTATACTTTTTCTGTGAGTTGGAACAAATTACCCAATATCCCATTGAAATAATATTCAGTTAACGAAATTTTCGGTTAACGAACAACTCTGTGAAACGAATTGTGTTCGTTAATCGGGGTATCGCTGAATAATTAAAAAAAAAAAAAGCTAATGGTCAAAACCGCGATTAAAAAAAATGCAAAAAACACGGGATTACTGCATATTGAAAGAGGTTGTATAAAAATATGATAACAGCATAAAAAGCTAGAAATAAGGGTGCAGTAGATGCATGAGAAATTATAAAATAAGTGATAGGATGGGAACAAGTGTTTGGTGGTACCTAACACAAACAGCTGTGGCAATATATCAAGCAAGAGTTCTATGTTTGGGAAAGGATTGTGACAACTGATGTTTCACATATATGGATGCATTTTCAAATGACCCAGTTGAAAATGCAATGAGTATGTTTCCTAAACACGAGGAGTGAACGAGAAGACACAAAGTGCATCAATCTTTCCGTCATCTTTATCACTGCACTAAGCGAGAGAGATTGGAGTCAGTCAATGAACATCTTAAAACTAATTACCTACATTTCCTGATCACCAAATCTAAATCTTGTGTTATATAATGAACATAAAAGCTCTCTTACCTGAGAGGCTCCTGTGGCTGGGATAAGCAGCTGAGGACTGGAGGTGTGTTTGTGGGCTAAGGGTGCATGTGAAAGCTTAAAGATTGCTCCAGGCTGACTTAGACGGGCACTGGTAGTGGTAGGGTTGAGGGCAGCTGGGTGTTGGCTAGTTGTGATGAGACTGTTAGTCAAGTTGACAGGGCTCATGGAGGCTGCTACAGGAGATACTGCTGGTATAACACCCACCTGTAAGAAACACTATGGTTAATTAAGCACACAAAAATTAGTTGACATATTTCATTAAATGCATGTAACAAAAGACCAGGATGCAGGATATATCTTTATGGCAACACTTGTCTCAACCTGTCACTGATAACATCCAGCTCCCCTGAGTTTATCTAAGATGACTACAGTACATGGATTACTAGACATGGCAGTCATAAGCCACAAACATGGTCTTATCATTAACAATCTTTGGTAATTCCAATAACATACAGTACAGTAAATTAAACAATTATATTGCCATAAAAAAAACTTAAATGTTTCTATTTTGAGACTTAACATTAGCTACAGAATAACCTAAGTACCACATCTACAGCCATTATAATTATATCTAAGAAATATCACACCCAACACATACACACACACCCTCCAACACCACACACACACCCTCCAACACCACCAACACCACACACACACCCTCCAACACCACCAACACCACCAACACACACACACCCTAGCCAGCCACACACCCCCCAGCACCACCAACACACACCCCCCAGCACCACCAACACACACACACCTAGCACCACCAACACACACACACACCCACCCACACACACCCCACCAGCCACACCAACACACACACAGCACACAACACCACCCACACACACACCCCACCACCAACACACACACACACACCCCCAACACCACCAACACACACACACACCCCCCCAGCACCACCAACACACACACACACCCCCCCCCAACACCCCACCAACACACACACACCCCCAACACCACCAACACACACACACCCCCACACACCACACACCCACACACACACACTTGCACTTCTTCCTGCACACCCCAACACCACCAGCTTACCCCAACACCGCCAACACACACACACACCCACACACCCCCTTGCACACCCCCCAACACCACCAGCACCACCAACACACACGCACACACACACACCCACCCACACACCCCCACCACCAACACACACACCCCCCACACCCCGCAACACACACACACACCACCAGCCACACACCCCCCCAACACACACACACCCACACACCCACCCACACAACACCCACACACACCAACACCAACACCACCACCACACACAACACCACCAACACACACACCGACACCACACACACACACACCCACACCACCAACACACACACACACCACCAAACACACACACCCGACACACACACACACCCCAACACCACCAACACACACACCCCGACCACACACACCCGACACACACACACACACCCCCAACACCATACACACACACACACCCCCCACACACACCCCCAACACACACCACACACCGGCACACACACACACCCCGACACACACACACACACCGCCAGCACACACACCCAAACACACACACACACACCCCAAACCACACACACACACCACACACCCACACACACACACACACACACACACACACACACACAACACACCAACACACACACACACACCCAACACACACACACACACCACACACACACACACCAACACACACCAACACACACACACACACACACCCACACACACACACACACCCGACACACACACACACACACACCCACACACACCCACACACACACACACACACACAAACACACACACACACACACACACACCCCCAACACACCAACACACACACACCCACACCCCCACACACACACACACAACACCCACACACACACCCACACACACACACACACACACACACACACACACACACACACACACACACACACACACACACACACACACACACACACACACACACACACACACCCCACACCACCACACACACACACACACACCCCACACACACACACACACACACACACACACAACACACACCAACACACACACACACCAACACCACCAACACACACACACCCCAACACACCACACACACACCCAAACACACACACACACACACACACACACACACACACACACACCCAACACCACACACACACACACACACACACACACACCACACACACACCACACACACACACACACACACACACACACACACACACACACACACACAACACACTGTACACACACACACACACACACACACATCCAACCAACACACACACACACACACACCACACACACCTACACCCCACCAACACACACACAACACCCACACCCCCAACACCACCACACAACACACCCCCCAACACCACCACTACACACACCCCCAACACCACAAACCCACACCCCCAACACCACCACACCCCAACACCACCAACACACACCACGCCAACACCACACCCCAACCCCAACACCACCAACACACACACAACTAACACCACCAACACACACACACACCCCCCCCAACACACCACCAACACCACCACACACACACCCCCAACACCACCAACACACACCACCCCCAACACCACCAACACACCACACACCCCCCACCAAACACACACCAACACACACACACAGCACCCCAACACACACCAGCCAACACCACCAACACACACACACCCCACACACCACCAACACACCACACACCCCCAACACCACCAACACACACACCCACCAACACCACCAACACACCACCACCCCCAACACCACCAACACACACACCCCCCAACACCACCAACACACACACACCCCCCAACACACACACAACACACAACCACACCACCAACACCACCACACACCACACACCCCAACACCCCAACACACACACACACCCCAACACCACCAACACACACACACACCCCCAACACCACCAACACCACCAACACACCCCAACACCACACACACACCCCAACACCACACACACACCCCCAACACCACCCACACACACACCCCAACACCCAACACACACACAACACACCCCAACACACACACACCCCCCAACACCACCAAACACACACACCCACACACACCCACCCACACACACCCCCCAACACCACCAACACACACACACCCACCACATTGATATAAATAATTTTTTGAACAGGCTTTTTCTATAATGCTTTCATTTATTTCAATCTCTCTCTGTTATACTTTTGTTAATAGTAAAAAAATGAATACACGTAAATAATCAACAGGACTCCTCCTTTCTTCTAAAATGAAGGGCCATTATTATTGTCCGTAATTCATTAATTTTACCTCTTGTGAATTACTAGTTATAAATAACATGTAATTCCTTAAGCTGTCCCATTTAAAACAATTCAGAAGAGTTACTGGTTGCCTAAACAGACTTCTCTAAGATTGCTTTCAAGCATTTTGTTCTCTTTCTCTATACAATCTTTATAAAATACCAATATACAGTAATAATAATAATCTTCTGCTCAAAATTCCCACGGGAACGCGAGATAATTTTTTAGAATATTATCGCCAATTTGGGCACACGCTCTCAAAAAGGTTCATTGCCCCTGGTCTAGAGTATAATACAGCTACTTCAAGGATACACAAGAAGAAAGTTATTTGTGGAAAATATTAGTCCAACAGCCCAATGATCATGGCAGGATAAAAGTTTTGCTTCTTGACGTCTAAAAATTTTGATGACGAAACTGCTAAAATTAAGCCGAGAACTACTTTTAGTCCTTCCCTTCCTTTTCTTATCTTTTCTCTCCACTCTCCTCCCCTTCTTTCTTTCCCCTACAACCCTATCTTCCTGTTCTGGTATCGAAACCTGGTTACTTTCTTGGTCTCCCACATACCAATATATAGTACTGTACAGCACATCTTTAGGCCCTGCAAATGATTCCCAATACATTAAGCACAAATCCTGTCCTATTGAAGGGTAAGCACTGGCTAAAACTTTACAATGTACCTTGGTTGACGAAGATACAGAAGTTACCGCTGTACATGCTGGGGAAACGGTGTAAGTTGAACACGATAAGTTCACTGGCAGAGGCTCCATCACTGTTCCACTAGACGAGGGTATCGATGGTAGAGAGAGAGAACGGGTGCGAGGTTTGTGTTGAGGCTGGCCAGAAATGTGAACACCCACTGACAAAGGTGCCAATATTGGTGGTAAGGGAGCCAAGTCACTACTGCAGTTTACACAGTCCAAGCTGCCATCTGTAAGAGGTACAAACAGTGAAGGATTCTATCTGAGCAACATAATAGAATTAGGCTTTACAAAAAATAAAAATAAGAAATTAAATTAATAAAAAAAAAAATCTAAGGTTAAACTAAACTTTCCCATGACCTAAACAAAAATATGCAATAAAGATTGGTTACCCCTTAAAATTGTGGTGAGTATTAATGTAGGGACAAAAATTCTAAAGTTGACAGGAAAAGAAATAGTGGCCTCGCGAGTTTTGCGATTGCTTTGTTCTGGGTACCCTGCGTAGAACTCGTGATATATGTTTACATGTTAAAGGTACTTGTTTGTTCTGGCACTAATGGCAAAGTCCCACTTCTTTTTGTCTTTTCACTCTCCAAATTTCAAGAATACTCTAATGTGACTTAGAAATAAAAGTACAGTACCTGTATAAAATAAAACTATAAAATAAGAAAAATAATGAGTGGAAAGGAATTAAGTGTAGGGAAGTACTAGGCATGGCAGTTGAGGGTGGAATAACTTGGCCAAAGCAGGGATGTGATTGGGTCTTGAAAAAAAAATAATATAAAAAGTGAGCTGGGGAGACAACTACTAGGGAAGATTTTATCACATTTAACTTAATTTCTCACATTGTTACTCATTTCGTGAGCACCAAATAGTTAAAATACACAATAAACAAAATCAAACATGTTTATTGTAACAATTTTAGTTGTTACTAAACTTGAATTTGTTTAATATTTTTAATTGTGCACCATTACTGAGAGAAGATAAACTAAAAGGTAAGCTCTTTTTGCACTGCATTGTGTGAGAATTCAAAATTTAGTATTTATCAAAGGGATTTATCTCTAATGCACCAGGAACTGGAGTTTCAATGGCATTTATAGTACTAAAATAAGAAAAATAACCAAGTTCCATTGGGATTTGGCTTATGTAACTGGGTGTCACCTGGTCATAGAGAGTAGACCCAGGCTCTTAACATGGGTTATTGAAGTAGTATCGGCCAGAAACTTGCCTGTCAACCTTGTTTTGCTCTAAACCACAACATACAAGTTCTTTCATTCTATTTCAGTCACTCTTTTCATTTTATCCCCATTAATCCACACACATTCTAACACCTCGGTATTCTTTAAACACAGAGAAAGACAAATGGTTAAGTAGAGGCTGTAAGACTAGAATGCTGACATAGCTGGATGCAACACCTAAAGTGTTTAATTTTTTTTTATCAACACTGTATTTAGACAAAGTTGTTACAAATGTAGAAAATTGCTTTTTAAAAATAACCCAATAACCCAATACAATAGAATCTCAGTTATCCAATATCCAGTAAACATGCAGAGTCAACTAACCAGCACCAAAATTAAAAATAACAAAAAATTCCTTCCAAATCAGCTAGAATCATAAGTTTAAATACTGTATGCAACAGGGATGAATTGCCGTATTTATTAGTGATAAACAATAAAATATATACATAGCCAATCATAAAATACAATAGCACATACGTTATGTATAAAAAATTGCTCCTTCCACATTCAAACCATCTTGTGGGCAATGTGACACAGTTTATACAGCCAACCAGCAGACTTGCACATGTGTAGCTGCTTTCGCCCCGGCTGTGTGTATACCGTGGCATCACATCGAGAGGGAGCGTAGCCACACAGTTATAGCCATAACTCACCACACATTCACTTCCCACATATACACACCAATGCTCCTCATGTGTTAACCTTCCTGGCCAAGTACTCATAGTTGTTGTGGTCTTGGAAGGGGTCATGATAATATAACAGCAAAATTTATGTGATATTTTATAGTTTCATTTTATATTTTCCCACAACTTTTATAGTTTCCTAACAACTAATAACATACGAGGCAGTTGGGCGAGCAAGTCGACGCCATAGTTACAGTATAGCCAAGGCCTTGGCTATAACAGCCTCCACACACACACCCATACTCTTCATTTTTCTTATCTTATAGTTTTATATTATATTTTATTTATTTATTTATAAGTCATATTAGAATATTATAATGATTTTTCAACAACTTTTATAAAGTAGTTTCATTACAAGTAACAATAAACATGGCAGCTGGGCTAGCAAGTTGACGCTGTAGTTATAGCTCGCCACCTCCACACACGTTCACTTCCCACACACACCCTTGCTCTTCAATTTCTTTATTTTATAGTTTTATATTAAATTTTCTTTATTTCTAAATCACATCATTTATACTGTATCGAGTGGAATAAGTGTTAAAAAAATCTGTTTTTCTGAGAAACGAATTTGTACTGTACAGTCAACCTGTAGCACTGGGAATTGTAGAATTTACTGGAGGATCCTAAGAGTGAGTTCCAACTAACCAGAAAAACTCTTTCCCTGGCACCTCTCACTCCCCGCAGATGCCGGATAACTGGGATTCTACTGTACATAGTTAGCTACACAATAAAAGGTTCACTGTTTGCATAAATAGACACACACACCTCCCTGCATGGCCAGAGTAACTGGACAGTCTTTGTGTTGTAAAAGCATTGATTTTAGGATTGCAACTTCAGAACGTAGAGATGATACTTCAGTCTGTAGTTTCTGATTGATGGATCCCAACTCATCATATTTTATAGACAAATTTTCAATCCATTTTTTCTTTTTTTCTCTACATCTTATGGCAGCTGCTCTGAAAGACACAAAATGAACCACAATTAGTTAACATTAAAACAAAATGATATCGGTTACATTGTTATACTTTCAACCCATTTATCTTAATATAGTTCAAAAGCAAATAACATCGTCCTATCTCCAGTAACATTTAACACATCACATTAAACCACTTCACACAATGCTTCCTAAATTATCTTATTTTTCATTCACATATTTCAGCTTACATTATACTCCTTGTGAGAACAGTACTGTACACAGTACAGTAATACCCCGCTTTACGCGTTTCAGTTTTAAGCGTTTCAGTTTTAAGCGTTTCAGTTTTAAGCGTTTCTACATTTACGCGGTAACCCGCCAGAACCGGAATTCCCGCTTTAAACGGTTCATCTACTCATATACGCGGAGAGCGGCTGGCTGTCATCTCGCGCCGCGCCATTTTTGGATTCAAACCTCCCGCCATGTTGGGTAAGCGGCGCGAGTAGGTTGCGCAGTGTATGTCTTTGTTGAGTTATCGGTGACGTCATATGACGTATCGGACTGTGATTGGGCCAAGCATCCTTACCTCCCTCCCCGCTAGCTGTGATTGGTTTAATGTACTATGACATGCCCTGCCGCGGGAGGGATGAAGCCCCTTGACCTACCTAACATTTTTTTATATAATGGCTCTGAAGAAATCTTTGAAAAATCAAGATGGAACAGATTTAGAAACACTGTCTTGAGGCAAAGGGCACTGAAAGAGGAAGAAATTATAGAGGATATCAAGCAACAAGACTGAAAACATATGGATAAAAAAATAAATGGGCAGAGACTTCTGAAGATAACAAGAGACAATTGATTTAAGAGGAAACAGAGAAAGAGGAGGCAATGGTGGCCAAGGAGCAGATGGTGGAGGCAAAAGGGTGACTACTCGGTTTTCATAATGCAGGAAACTTACAGCTTATGCAAAATAAGTTATAAGTTATAGTAATCTTTGTTGAGGAATCTGCATGAAACTGAAATATTTACAACTATTAACATTTTCAAAATACAAACTCAATCTTACCTGTTTCTTTCTAGGAATTTTTTTCGTTTCTCTGCAGGATCTTCATTATCTGAAGAATGGCGGCGCCTTCGCTCTCCTTTCAAAATGTTACCATTACCACTTGTGCTGTCTTCCTCCCCCTCACCCTACTCAAACACAACAAAAACTAAATGTTTTGGTTTACATTATATACCAATACTGTACTGTACTTTATATTATACATCAGTTATCATGATTTTTTTTAGAACAAATTAAGATAAATCACCTACAAGCAAATATAATGATAGTCAATAAAAGGGTCACAATAAGGCCATAAACTGAGTATGTATGACCCTTAACTCCTTATCGCAATACATCAACTACTGAATATTACTGATTGTGCATCAAAAGCAACTGACCTCAGTACTACTGGTGCCACTGAAATTACGTGACCTGGTCATTTCAGCAATGCGGTCAGCTGTATTGGCTCGTGATATCTTACTACAGCCTGGCCGTGCTGCAGTACTGCTGGAGGCCAAGGCTTGTTTTAACTTCTGAAAAAAAAAACTTAGTTCAGAATTGTTGCTGTTTAAAACATGATGCCTCACACTGACACCTCTCCCATATGTGCCTTCACTAAATACAAGACTTTACACTCTTTCACACCAAGTACCTCAAGTCACTGTGTTGTTCCACCTTAAATCTGGTATCTTTGTCTCTGCCTAATTCAACTTTTCTTCTAAACTAACCTTTAACATCTCAGTAAGAAACACTGTATCCTATACAAGTCATCACTTCTCATGCATTAAATCATAATAGTTTTTTTTACAAAACTGCTGTGATTTTTCTTTGAACTTTACATGTTAATATAATATTTTGAACTCTTTTAACACCAAAATGACAGCCATCAACAGTGGATGTTAGCTACAGGAACAGTGGCCAACATTACTGGATGTTTCATGTTTCTTGCATTCCATTTTTGTGTATGTAGGGGATAAAGCTCACCAATCACACTTAAAATTAATTAAATTTTGTTGGGCAGGTAACACAAATCTTTTTGTAGAAAAATGGAGCACGTTCAAAAAGTTACTAAATGAGGTACAATAAGTTACACGACTTCACCCAGCAGGAGGGACACAGCCATACCTTAGGTCACCCACAACTCCCTACCAAATTTAATCTCTCTATCTTCAAAACTGTTGATATGCATAAGTAACACACAGACAGACAGAGAGAATGGATATTATATACTGTACAGTACACATAGTTCACAAGGAAATGCACAAGGGACAAGAATGGATGGAATAACACAAAAGTCCTTCTAAGGAATCCAAGTTCTTACCATCTTGGCAAGTGACTGATGTGGTGATCTACTTTCTACTGAGTGAGGTAGTGAACCAGCAATGGAGGAGACTGTGCCATTTGTGGTTCCACTTGAATTGGATGAAGAAACAACTGGAGTTGCAGGAATTTCAACTGGGATTGCTTGACCATTGGGTAATCTTAAACAAAACATTTAATAAGTTAATTAAAATATTAGTGAAATAAAAAATCAACTGACCACGAGCCTGTAGAAAGCAAATAAAATATGAAATTTATTCAAAATCTACAAGAGTGTATCAGATGAAACATCATATGTTATTGTGCTGAAAAGTACAGACATAACTAGGTTAAAAAATTAAGTGATATACAGTACAGTAAACCCTCGAAGATCCGGACTCGGGAAATCCGGACAAAAGATTTGGGGGTTCTGGGCTAAGAAGCCTCCTAGAAGCTTCCCTAAGAAACATTACCAAACCAGAGCAAAGAACATTTTAGGCCCGTGGGCGCTGCTTGACCCATCAGTTGCTTGGACACAGGTGCCCAAGGAGGTGGGAAACATAAAACAGAGTTGACAATTGTTGTTTGTGGTAATATTATTTAATTCACTCTAGTAATGATACAATGTTTCTTATTATGTTATCGTAGGTAAATGCTTGGTTTATATATGCTAATTTGTTTATCACTACATTAGTACTGTATTTTTGGTGTTTCTTTTATCATTTATTATTTGCAGGGAAATTCGGACAATCGGCTTTTCTGGACAGGTGGTCCCCCACTTTTAGTCCGGATCTTCAAGGGTTCATTATAATTAAATTTAATCAATGAAAAGATCTGGTATTCACTTAAGTCAAAGGTTCCCACTTACTGAAAACAATTCCTGTCACTTTTGACACTACTCTTGCACCATCTTACCCTACTCTCAATTTTGAGATTCCTAAATCCCTTGATGTGATCCACATTAAATTTTCCTTTCAAAATTAAAATATTCTGAGATATGTTAGTGTATCCATCTACTGTACTGTAAGTTAAGAGAGGAAGATAAAAATTTAAATTTTATATTACCGGAGAACAATATTTTGTGATTTAAGTTGAGTGGAGTACTTGTAAGGTATTGGTAACAGACCTGAGGAGCAGCTGAAGGACAGTGGCACTTGGAGATGGAGGGACACAGCTGGCGGCAGCACAGAGGGCTGGCTGCTGGGGGGAGGACTGTGCCAGCCCATTTATCTTCACACTCCCACCAGCCACATCCACTACACCAAGGGACTGGGTCACTGATGGCCTGCAAGACAATAATCCACCAAAACATTTCAAAGTTGTTAGTCTTTCTTTCCTAACATTTTGGACAACATAATCTACCATCAAAATTATGCAAGTTTCAGAGAACGATAAGTCAGTAAACTTGTTAAACTGTACATTATTATTCCGTATCAGAGCTCATGCTTAACCCTTAAGCCCTGGGTTAAGGTGCTGCTGGCAGTACCCCCCACCCCGCAGGGATAAATTGGAAAAAAAATCAAGTTTTCCAAAAATAATAATAATAAAAAAGGCGGGAAAATAGGCAAACGTTCTGGAACGTCACCTGGGGCCAAAGGGTTAATATTTTCTGTATACATAATCACAATATCTACATAAATTACACCTAAATCCCAGTACGCTGTATTTAGAGATTAGATGACAGATACAACTTACCCTGCAGTAATGACAGGTGTAGGTGTGGATATCACAGAGCTTGACTGTTGACTTGCTTCAGCGGCTGAAGAGACGTTGAGAGAGAGCCGTCTGGGTAATTGTTCAGTCTTGTCTAGGTCTCCCTCGACTTCTATGACTCTGGAAGACAAAGACACACAAAGGACCTACTTAGATTTCATCATTTAGGTCACCTGGTCTTTTTACCAGACATGGGTTATGACCCTCCCTCCACATGTAAGCTTCAGCTGAGTAAGATCCAAGCATACAAGAAAGTTCCAACACCTTGAGCCCAGGTCTGGTACCCTAGGGGGGGTGAAGTGTTAAGGATGAATAATCTGTTAACTATATTGCTCATAATGACTCCATGATGAGTTGTTTGCTATTTATAAATAAATTATCTTCTTTATGGATAATGATTTGATGTAATAATGCACAAAAAAAAAATTAATGGCAAGAAAGAACAACAATATTCAACATTCTGTACTGCCTCATATCCCCATCTTACACAAATAGAACCACTCATCTTTACAGTTTACTGCACTACAGTATTACCCCGCTTTACACTGTTTCACTTTCCACGATTTCTCACTTACGCGGTACCTTGCCAGAACCGGACTTTCACTTTCCGCGGTGCATCTACTCATATACGCGTGAAGTATATTTTTTTGTATTTAGCTCATAAAATTCATACAAATTACCCGGCCAGAATATAATTTACATTGCTGGAATTCTTACAATATGATGATCATTTTGAATATAAACATCATGGATTTGGCATTAAACATACAAATTTTAGATCTAATGTAATAATTTGGTTTACACAAAGCAAATATTTTATCGTTTGTGCAAAATATATGAAGTTTACATTCAAAATATTCCCTGACCTGCAAGGAATCCAGAAATGTCAATTATATTATCCTAACTTTAGTCTGAGGTATTATTTATTACTAAACATTAAAATCTAGTGTTTTCACCGAAACATTTCTCAGAGGTAGGAGCTAGTGAGCTGGGAGGGAATTTAAGTCCATTATTTGAATGGACATTAACCTGGCGACTGTATTTCTCTTAAATATTAATTGTGTGAGCATACCATCATAAAATTAAGATGTTATTTTTACTACAACATAGGTATTGTGTTGGAAAAAGTGGAGTTTGGGGGTCAGGCCAGTCTCTATTGGAATTAATCCCATATGTTCTGTTGTTCACTTTACGTGGTTTTCACTTTCTGCGGTACCCCATGGGTCCAATTGACCGAGTAACTGGGTACTACTGTATATTAAAATAATTGATTTAGAACAATTGACTGTGAATTTTTAAGTTGGCCACTCAGGGTACTACTTAAAATTAATCTAAATAATCTATACATTGTTGCAGCCATCTCTGATTTATGTCCACAGAGCAATATTTAAAATTCCACATAATCAACATAATTTCAATAATGCTCAAATTAGACATTTTGGCCTTGTGAAGAGAGAATAACTTAACAGAACACATGTTACAGCAGCTAGGGAGGAGTGAGTCTTCACCCACTCTAAATTTTGCCTACCTTGTAAAGTATATTGTATACAATAGGAAACAGCATCCCAGACTAATTGATTGATTGTGGTCATAACATCCCTGGCAACGCAACAGCTTAGGTCATATGCCATTGCATTATCCAAGACTGAAGAAAGAAAGTTTCTTACCTTGAAGAGGACTGCGGTGGAGTGCAGCCCGAGGTGGTAGTTTGTAAACGAGATGCAGAGATGCTAGACGTGGTGATGGTGGCAGTGGTCATGGCCGTGGTTGACGTGACAGACACATCATCTCGAGACGTGGAAGAAATAGTTTCATCAGAATCTACAGGTGGGAGTACTCGTGGTGTGTCAAGGCTTTCTCCTCCATTCCCTCCAAGAGCCTGGACGAGAAAAGTGAATATTTACCTAAAAGAAACAACGATACTGAAAAAATTAAACATGAATATTTACCTAAAAGAAACAACGATACTGAAAAAATTAAACAAACATTTGAAATAAAAAAATGAAATAGATGCATACAGGTATAGTTTACATGTATAAAACATTGATGTTTCTTAACACTCTCTAGCCTATTTCTACAATAATAAGGAGCAGCAAAAACTAGGGTCAAAGACAGACTCTCTCATCACTTGTTGTCATTTGTCCATTCTTACTGCTGTACTCTAAAGGATATGTTCCAGTATTAGACCTCCAGAAGCAGATTATCTGTTAGTTGACTCAACATAACATTACCCACCAGTTGTATCTTCATCCCTAAGAATACGCAACCCTTGAGGCTGAAGTATCTCACCATTCACACACACAGCTGTTTCCTGGATGCTTATTACCCTCACCTACTATGACCTTCACCGAACTCATCCATTTCCTTCTAGGTCTTCCCATATTTCTCTTACTATCTACATTTGTTAAGTTTTTCACTTCATATGCTCTCACAATTGCTACATCAGCTAAGTGCACCTTGGTTAGCTCTCTATCTCACAATTCTTACATTCCCACAACTCATTATTTCTGTATTCCAACACACTATCCACCCTGTGTACTGCTCTCAAGAAAATCATTCTCATCACTTCTATATTTAATTCTTGCATGTGTCCTTCATCCATGACTCACAGTCAGACAATAAAGTAAGTGTAATTATTCCTCTATAATTCCAAACTTTTGTCATTTTTTAATATATTTCTCTACTGCCTCACACATGTTCCATCCATGATCAGGTACACATCACTTTCATTCTCTTCATTCAAATTATCTTTTTCTCTGTCTCCTTGATTCACTCTTATTCGTTTTCTTTCACTCATATTGACTATAAACTTCCTATTATTACAAACTTTTCTTTCAATTTATTCACTGACACTTGCAACTTCTTTCTACATCACGTTACAAGAGCCAAATCATCTGTATAAAATAGCTCAATCAGTTCCTAATTTGTGTCTCTTATCCTACTGATTTTTAGGTTCCTGTTGTAATTATGTAAGACTGTATGATGTCTTAACCTTAGTGAGAGAGTGACGTGACCTGAGAAGTGTCTTTACCTCAGTGAGAGAGTAACGTGACCTGAGAAGTGTCTTAACCTCAGTGAGAGAGTGACGTGACCTGAGAAGTGTCTTAACCTCAGTGAGAGTGACGTGACCTGAGAAGTGTCTTAACCTCAGTGAGAGTGACGTGACCTGAGAAGTGTCTTTACCTCAGTGAGAGAGTAACGTGACCTGAGAAGTCTTAACCTCAGTGAGAGAGTGACGTGACCTGAGAAGTGTCTTAACCTCAGTGAGAGTGACGTGACCTGAGAAGTGTCTTAACCTCAGTGAGAGAGTGACGTGACCTGAGAAGTGTCTTTACCTCAGTGAGAGTGAGAAGTGTCTTTACCTCAGTGAGAAATGCGTGACCTGAGAAGTGTCTCCCTCAGTGAGAAGTGATGTGACCTGAGAAGTGTCTTAACCTCAGTGAGAGTGGCGTGACCTGAGAAGTGTCTTAACCTCAGTGAGAGTGGCGTGACCTGAGAAGTGTCTTAACCTCAGTGAGAGTGACCTGAGTGTCTTAACCTCAGTGAGGTGGCGTGACCTGAGTGTCTTAACCTTAGTGAGAGGACGTGACCTGAGAAGTGTCTTAACCTCAGTGAGAGAGCGTGACCTGAGAAGTGTCTTAACCTCCAGTGAGAGAGTGACGTGACCTGAGAAGTGTCTTTACCTCAGTGAGAGTGGCGTGACCTGAGAAGTGTCTTTACCTCAGTGAGAGAGTGAGACCTGAGAAGTGAGTGAGAACGTGACCTCAGTGAGAGAGTGATGTGACCTGAAGTGTCTTAACCTCAGTGAAGAGAGTGAGAGTGACGTGACCTGAGAAGTGTCTTAACCTCAGTGAGAGTGACGTGACCTGAGAAGTGTCTTAACCTCAGTGAGAGAGTGACGTGACCTGAGAAGTGTCTTTACCTCAGTGAGAGAGTAACGTGACCTGAGAAGTGTCTTAACCTCAGTGAGAGAGTGACGTGACCTGAGAAGTGTCTTAACCTCAGTGAGAGTGACGTGACCTGAGAAGTGTCTTAACCTCAGTGAGAGAGTGACGTGACCTGAGAAGTGTCTTAACCTCAGTGAGAGAGTGACGTGACCTGAGAAGTGTCTTAACCTCAGTGAGAGTGACGTGACCCGAGAAGTGTCTTAACCTCAGTGAGAGAGTGACGTGACCTGAGAAGTGTCTTAACCTCAGTGAGAGAGTGACATGACCTGAGAAGTGTCTTTACCTCAGTGAGAGAGTGATGTGACCTGAGAAGTGATGCTCTTCTAAACTGTTCATCAAAGGGGTTCAAGTTTATTTCCTGGAACAGTCCCACTTCCTCACATTGCCGTAAGAACCTTGTTGGAGTAGGTGTCTGGTCTGCAACACAGGAAAAAAAAACTTTAAGTGATTTTTTAAATCTGCAAAGACCTACAATTCTTATTCTCAGGATGAACATTAAAGACATGAAAGAGTTAAGAAGAATGCTTATCTTGGTGAAACCTACAACAGATATTGAAAGGGAATATAAACGACACCAAAGTAATAATCGTTTACAAAAGATGTATAATTTCAGTGAACAGTAATAAGCTTGACAGAGAAGAGCTGACGAGACTGAATGAATACAGATCTTCAGAGTTAATTATACAGAACACCTGCATAATTCGTGGATTTTTATTTCCCGGTCCACTATTATTCGCAGATGACACCCTGGATGTACCCAAGAATGTCTAAGGGTAGTTTTAAAGTTGCTGGCATTTTTGCAGCGGGGACAGAGCCATTCGTTCTAGACAGTAATTTCCTTTCCCTGTACAGTATAGTCTCGTTTTACGCGGTCAATTAAACCCATGGAGGTTCGCATATAACGCGAAACACGTAAACGAAATAACAGAACATATGGGATTAATTGAAATAGAGACTGGGCCGACCGCCAGACTACACTTTTTCCGACACAATACTGTACGTACGTTGTAGTAAAAATAACATCTTAATTTTATGATGGTATGCACACGCAATTAATACTTAAGAGAAATATCAATAATATTAGGTTTTTTAACACTTACGTTAGTAGAAGATATGGCTGGGCACACAGGGATGGGGGGGTTGGTTCCGAGGCAGAGGGCAGATTATTGGCCCTCAACTGTGTCTCTATCCACCACAGAGGCTAGCAGGGCCTCCGCGTCAAACCCCTCAAAGTCCATACCCTCACTATCACTGACTTGGGCTGGCTGTGGTGGGTGGCGGGTGAAGAACTCAGTAATGTTTTGCTGACTGGGCAAGCAAGGTTAAATAGACCAATCACAGTCCGAAACGTCATCTGACATCAGCGGTGACATAAGAGCGACCTCGCACGCAGCTTGTCCGCGCCACTTCCCGCGTAAATTCAGGAATGTACAGCGTAACTTTGAGGGATAGACCTACAACTAAAGAGCAGTACTGGCATGTGTGAAGCATCAGGGGTAGGCCAGATTTGGGACCATGTAGAGGAAGGGAAGCACCAAAGTAGACTACATTGATTACAGAAGTAAGAATGGTTAACTAACAAATTCAAGGAGACTGAGTGTTGTGTATAATTATGCTCTTGATTCTAACCATCTCCCATTAAGTGAGGTAAGGGCTAGAGGGAGCATAAAACTTTCCATCTTCTTACATCTCTCAAAAATATCCAGAAACATTTAAAATACAGTGGGGTATGCTATAACGAATCTTATTGGTTCTAGAACCTCGTTCGTTATAGGATTAATCCGTCCCAGGCCCCCAAATACAACCACTTAACACTGAAAATTTTCTGTGGAAAATGTAAAAAATACGGTACTTTATCTTACCTTAGTGTTGTTAGCATGCAGGATAGGAGGCAGAGGGGGAGGGGGGAAGGGGGAGGAGAGGTGGAAGGAGAGGAGTCATCCTTCCTAGCCCTCTTTGGTGACTGTCTTACAGGCACTTTGTCTGTAGGTTCTTTTGTTACTTTTTTAAAGAAGGAATCCAGGGTTGGCTGCTTCAACCTTGATTTCTTGACCTTCCAAAAGTAGTTCATAACATTGTCATTAAACACAATGATGGCCTTTTGCACAGAATCAACATCAGGATGATAATCCTCAGCAAGCTTGGACAGTTTGCTCCAGCAAAAGAACACATCCTTGAGATCTTTGGCTGGAATGATGCGGCTTTCCTCCTTGTCCTCATCCTCCCCTGACTCCTCAGAAGTTAAGCTCCACTTCAGTGTCTCATTTTCTTCTTTGTGAAGCTCAAGCAGCTCCTCAGTGGACAGCTCCTTACTGTGCTCTTCCACCAACTCCTCAACATCATCATCATCCACTTCCAGGCCCATGGAATTATCCAGAGAGACAATTTCATGTACAACAGCCTCTTCCTCTAACTCTTCAAAGCCTTCAAAGTCTCTTTGAAGCACACATTCAGGCCACAATGGCCTCCAAGCAGCACAGACACACCTCACAGTAACCTCTTTCCAGGCTGAGGTAATTAAAAACACAGCATCTGCTATATTGAAGTGACTCTTCCAAAATTCCTTCAAACTAGCATCACTGGAAGAAGTGGACGCAAAACATTTTCTAAACAGTGCCTTTGTGTACAGCTTCTTAAAGTTAGAGAGGTGTTGTGTTGGGTGGCAAGAAGTGCACAGTGATGAAATTGAACTCCTCTGGCAATTCAACCATCAAATTAGGAGGGTGGGCTGGTGCATTGTCCATCACCAACAAAGCTTTCAGTGGAAGATTATTCTCCCTGAGGTATTCCCGAACACTGGGTCCAAACACCTCAATCACCCACTCAGAGAAAAGACTCCTGGTCACCCAAGCCTTTGGGTTTGACCGCCACATAACACCAAGGCGGGTCTTCCTAATGTTTTTGAAAGCTCTGGGGTTTTGTGCATGGTACACAAGGAGTGGCTTTATCTTGCAGTCACCAGAAGCATTAGCACAAAGAAGGAGGGTAAGCTGGTCTTTCATTGGCTTATGGCCAGGGACAGAAGTTTCCTCCTTGGTAATGTATGTACGGCGTGGCATTTTTTTCCAAAAAAGTCCAGTTTCATCACAGTTGAATACCTGCTGAGAAACAAAGCCTCCCTCTTTAATAATATTCAAAAAAATGTCATGGTGTTCCTTAGCTGCTTCCTTATCTGCCCTAGCAGCATCACCAATTCACCATGTCTCACAACACTATGTAATTTATCTCTCCTTCTGAAACCAGTAAACCACCCCTTGGTACCCCTAAATGCTGGCACATCACTATCACTTCCACTGGGAGTCTTGGCTTTAAGATCCTCAAACAATTGTCTGGCCTTCTCACAAATTATAGCTTCACTAATGCTATCACCTGCCATTTATTTCTCCTTTATCCACACTAAGAGTAAATTTTCCGTCTCCTCAATTACATTACACCTTGCTTTGCTAAGTCTAGAGATTCGCTTAGCCACTTGCACAGTTTTCAACTCCTCTTTATTCTTCAAAATCGTACATATAGTCGATTTAGCCATCCCATACTCATCACTAAGTTTCACAATGCTTGTTCCATTCTCGCGTTTCTTTATGATTTCTTTCTTAGTTTCAAGAGTTATGAGCTTTCTCACTCGCTTTGGACGATTCATTGTTACAATTGTACACTTGTATAACAAAATATTTATACAAATAACTCGTATTTCCACATCAAAAGACGAAATTTCAACAATAACAGTGGTGCACTGGCTACACAATGAGACAAAGATGGCGCCTGACGCTCTTGTTGTGGGTCGCGGTACAACAATATTCATTTGCCAGACGAAATAGTCCCGTATTCATCCGCGTTCGTTGTAGGAGTTGCGTTCGTTATAGCATTCTCAATTTTATAGGTAAAACCGTTCGTTATAGGAATATTCGTAGTAGGATCCGTTCGTTATAGCATACCCCACTGTATAAAGAAACATAAAAATTATTACACTGTATAACTGTACAGTACTTATGTTATTTAACTTCCAAAAGTGTTCCTTACCAATTATGTATCCATGATGTTTGACTAGAGATGATGTGTGATGATCTCCGTTGACTGTAAGTTGCATCTCATGACGTCTACGATGCACTGTCAGATGATCCTCATTAGTGAAGCTCTATGAGAAATACCAAAATTGTACCAAAAATTTATTCACTGTGGTTATTATAACTTGTAAGCTTAAGGGTATTAGCATCAGCAGCCTAAATGTTTTATTTTTAACAGAAGCAACAAATAAATAGTTAAAGAATTTACTTCCAAATAAGATACAGTAATACTGTATTGTACACTAATACCATAGTGTTAGAAAAATGGTTTTGTGTTTGAAGATCCCTAACTTAGACCATCAAGGCAAAAAAGACTTTACCACACAAACACAAGTGATCTTGGTGAGAGTCCAGGGATGATAACTTCACACCATTATTCATAATATTGTCTTTTACAACTATGGGTTTGTTAGTTAAAGAGCCATGGTGACATACCTCAAGAAACATAAACAGTACTGTACTTACAAACTGTAGTTTCTTTAATCTGTAGAGGTTTTTTTAGCCAGTATAACGAATTCAAATAAAAAAAATTATGATGCAAACAAATGTTAACAGTCTTATGTCACTTCCTTATAATCTGCCTCTCACTGTGGTTCAACTGGTCAAACATTTTCTCATAAAGATTTTCTATATTTGCTTAAAAACTCCACTGATCCTCCCATGATATTTCTTGTAGGCTCTGGTAACACAAGGAAAAGCCTCAGGCCCCAGTAGAGTAGTTGCTGTCAGTCACCAGGCTCTCTGATTACATTAATACTGTACTTTTCACCAGGGTTATTTTGTATATTCTACCATACATTCAAATGGTATTTTTGTCAGATAGTCTACCAAATCATTCAATATTTTCGATTAAGTTCTATATTATACTAAAAAAAAATTCCTTGTGCTAGCAATAAAATAAGAAAATTCATAATAATATTCTTACCATGCCACAGCCAGGCTGGGGACACCCAAAAGGTTTATCAACCTCTCCCATGGCTGAATCTGGACTAATGCCCAATTAAGGTTTTCCTTCAAGATATTTGATAGTAGTAGTGTGCAGGACTTGGACCACTTATGTTGGGAGCCTGCCTGGCCCAACTGGATCTTAAAAAATTGTCAATAGCCTGCCAGCGTGATGCCTTTTACGGCTCTGAAAAAAAAAAGACATTAAAATTCTTAATAAGAAACATTAAAATACATACATACATATATAAAGTACAGTGCAGTAAAAAAAAAAGTGTCGATAACCCTGTCGAGCGTAACAATATGAAACACAGTGTGAAAACGGTAAACGGGAACCTAACCCATTTGCATATCAAGGGATACTTGTATACATTAGCTACAGTATACAGCTCCTCCCCGACTTACGACGGGGTAAGGGACCCAAATCCAGGTCATAAGTCGAAAATGCTTAAATAATACATAGACAATCTAAAATGAGGGTCTCTTTTTCTTCTCAGCACCACAGAACTCTCACTTTTAAGCTTGCCAGTCACTTTAAAAAGTGAATAACAAACAAAAATGTTCTCTGTGTACTGACGTTGGGACTCGAAAATACGTAATTTGACAAAATTTTGGTACGACCGAGGCAGGTCGTAAGTGCGGGCGGTCGTAAGTCGAGTAGGTCGTAAGTCGGGGAGGAGCTGTACTCGTATATACAGTAGAGGGCATCTACAGTACAAGGAGTAGTACACTGTACTGTACTCATAAATTGAAACCTTAAAAAGCATGAATATGTATGAGTGTTTTATGGACACCCTACAAACAAGTGTAATGTACAGTAAGTAAAGATCTCTTCCCTGTACTGTTGTGTTCAGTATTTTCTCAATTTTTAGTGTTGTAGTTGATGGAACTTTGAGTTTCCTACTGCAAAGATGAAGTGTACCAATGCCTAGTCATTAGGTAAGGCTAGGTTAGGTTGGGTAGGGTGAGGTTAAGTTAAGCAGTGGGACATTACAAATAGGGTACCCAACACTCAAGATGGTAAGACATTTGGGCCATGGGCCACGACCCCGGATGTTTGGGGCCATGAACTATATGTAGGGAGGGCATTTGGGCCATGGGATTTTATTACACCTAATGATGAAGATTTACACCATACTGTGTAATAGAAGAGTTATGTAAATTGTAAAAAAGAAAAGAAAAAAAGGCAGACAGCTGTAAACAAACCGGTAAATTATAATCCACCTTAATACCTCCGGGAACCTTGAGTTCATCACATCACCAAGAAACATGTCAATATGGATGTTTTTGTTCACATATTTTAACTCTGGTTTTCCCAAGTCAACAAAGGTGGTAGGATGACCATTACATTTAAAAAAATAGTGAATTTCTTTTGATTACTTTGTCCCATGGCCCAAACATTACAGTTAGAAATTAAATATTCTAGTTTGATTCAATACTGTATTTAAATATATTCTGAATAAATTATTCGGGAACGGCCATCTCTCGATTTAGACGATAGTTATGTCCTGGAGATTAGCCGTGTAAATAAAAAATGTGTAAATCAAACTTAAATATCCCATAAAAAATAAAGGCAATGACAGGGATTAGGGGAACGCTCCTTAAAAAGTGTAATTTGTTTATCTACGTACATTCTTTCCTTCAATATGTTTTATTTACAATAATAGAAGGGAAACTAATAAAACACTAGTAAGAAAATAGATTTTAAATAAAAATTTGTGCAAGTATTTATGTTGAACAATGGCCGGGACGGTGTGCGGGAACTAGGGGTGTGGAGGAGAGATGGAGGGGGGAGGGAGTCACCTGACAGAGCTGGTGATGGGGAAGAGAAGTGGGAGCTTTCCAGATGCCAGACGTTGATTGCCGAGGGTCAGGTGCCGTTAGGTTTTCCTTTCTCGTCAAGTAGGAAAGCAATGAGGTACTGAACTACTCTACCTGGCGCTCGTTTCAAAACCGAGCTATTTTAATAAACTTTGTGTTATTTTAAAAATAGGCATTAATTTAACACTAAAATACATGCAGTGTTATTTAAAAACAGTGCAAATTAAATCCATGAAAATCGAGAGATGACTCTATTGTCTGAGAACACTGCTACCACCAGAAGGACTCGAAAATGTGTAATTTGACAAAATTTTGGTACGACTGGGGCGGTCGTAGGCCCGGATGGTCGTAAGTCGGGGAGGAGCTGTACTCGGGTTCATACAAAGAAGTGTTAGTTACAAGACTAGCAAGGTCATCCTAAAACTATATCTTGCGCTTGTCAGACCTCACTTGGATTACGCTGTTCAATTCTGGTCACCGTATTACAGAATGGATATAGAATCCTCGGAAAGAATTCAGAGGAGAATGACAAGACTAATTCCGGGCATTAGGAACCTTGAGTATAGAGACAGGTTAAAGCATCTTAATTTGCACTCCCTCGAGACGTAGAGTGAGGGGTGACATGATAGACGTGTATAAATGGAAGTCAGGGCTAAACAAAGGGGACATTACAAAGGTACTCAAACTATCCAACCAGGAGCGAACTTATAACAATGGTTTTAAATTAGACAAATTTAGATTTAAGCGCGAAATAGGTAAACATTGGTTTGGAAATATAGTAATGCACGACTGGAACAAGTTACCAAACATCATCATTAACTCGAATACGCTGGATAGCTTAAAACGAATCCAGGAAAAAAAATCACAAGAAAAAAGTCACAGATAAAAAGGCACGGAAAAAGCCTAATCTAACCGAAGCTAACCTAACCTAACCTAACTTAACCTAACCTACGTGCAATGCCATCATATATATATTGTGTTGTCAACGTGTACAAGTTATGTGACTTTTTCTCCTGTGGACTTTATTTCAGTCCAGCCTTCAAACATAGGCTGGATGGATATACGAGCAATAGGGGTTGGGTGTAAACGGGACTGCCCAGTATGGGCCAATAGGCCTGCTGCAGTTTCCTCCATTCTTATGTTCTTAATTACCATACATAACTGTTTAAAAACACTCCCAATAATTACCAAACTGCTGACGGTCACAAGTCGTATATTAGCCGGAGAAAATAACACACAGTATATACATACATTGTTAGGTTAGGTAGAGGTAGGTTGAGTTAGGTGAAGGATCACTTTATAATTTTTAGGTAATAACTCTTAGTAGTTTATAACCGGTAATAGACATTCTGAGAATATATGACGGCATGGGAATTATCCTTAATACCCACCTCGTATAGTTGCTCTAAAGTTAACTAGTTTACTATGACGCATGTGTAAATCAAACACAAGGTACTATGCATCATATAACACACATTACATCTACAGAAACACTGGTGGAAGGTTTACACTGGCCATATTACACCTCGAGTCAACTTGTTATGCAATACCTGTCCCATGTCGCCCTTCCTTCACTTACTATCCAACTTAACACTGTTAAACTTTCCTAAACAACTTTTTTTCAGATACTCAAGACATGTTCACAAACAGAAAGCTTTCAACAGTACAACAACAGTGATAATTTCTTGATTATTTATCTTACCATCGCGGAAAACAATATATTCTCGAGTACAAACACCATCCACTCTTGAACTCGTATGACGTAGGCGGAGCTTTGTTTACCTACACCACCGAGCTAAAGCTAACGATAAGGTGCCGAGATCTTTACGACAACATAACCATAACCCCTGAAGATGTGAATTACACGAAAGCGCTTGGGAACTTCGTGTTTTCCTCTTTCCTTGTGGTTATCAGCATATATATATATATATATATATATATATATATATATATATATATATATATATATATATATATATATATATATATAAATAATAATAATTAACGGTTTATTGAAAATTCTGCAGCCCGAAGGCTGAAAATATACATTGGACATAAATGACTTATTACATACATTGGTGGTTTAACAAAAGCCTTCATTAGAGAAAGGTAAAGGAACATACAGTGAACATACAGATTAATGTAGGTGTTGAACAGCAAACTCGTAGTGTAGTAACTCCCTCCCAGATGGTGTTAGGAGGAACTCACGTGCAGTAGTTCCCTCAGATGGTGTTATGAGGGACCTGGCGTGGTGTAGTAATTCCCTCGCAGATGGTGTTATGAGGGGCCTCACGTGGTGTAGTAATTCCCTCACAGATGGTGTTATGAGGGGCCTGACGTGGTGTAGTAATTCCCTCACAGATGGTGTTATGAGGGACCTCACGTGGTGTAGTAATTCCCTCACAGATGGTGTGATGAGGGACTTGACGTGGTGTAGTAATTCCCTCACAGATGGTGTTATGAAGGACATGTGGTGTAGTAATTCCCTCACAGATGGTGTTATGAAGGACATGTGGTGTAGTAATTCCCTCACAGATGGTGTTATATGAGTGAGGTTTGGTCCCAGGCCTTCCTATCGTAGACGGATTAACACATCGCTGGTTGTTGTTGGGTCTCACGGGCCGTTATCACTGGGTACCTGGGACCTCACTGTGTGAAGGTTATCTTGGGTACGACTGTTACTGTTGAGTTGTTCTCACTGACTTAAGCACTGTTCACCACTGTTCACCTCGGTTTAACACTGGTTCCGTTCCTTTCCTAAATGAAATTGTAACTTCTGGCGAGAACTTGTTGATATTCCGGTGGGGAGGAGGGTTCAGGGGAGGGGGTTGGTATGGGCCAACTTAACAGTTGATATGGCTGCTCCGAGAGGAGCGCCAGGTACGTCTTGACCCTTCGGTGGTCAAGGATGTGTGTGTGTGTGTGTGTCCAGATGACCAGAATCTAACAAAATTAAATCAAAACACTGCCACAGCTGACAGTGATGTTTCATCCATCTTCACCCACAAGAAGCCTCCGGAGATACAAAATAGGAATCTCACCTGAGGTTTTAGGTTTGACATCATAGCGGAAGCGTCTGGCGTTATGTCACCCCGTCTGGTCCCCGAGACATGCTAGGGACTGTCAGTTGGTTGAACATGTTCAAAGGAAGGCCACCAGACTGATGCCTGCACTTCGGCACCTCAGCTACCCTGAGAGATTGGAGAGCCTGAACTTGCCAAACTTATACTATAGACGGGCAAGGGGGGACCTAATTGAGGAGTATAAGTATCTCAAGGGGCATTACTCAGTCGAGTGTCCTTGCTTGGAGCTGGCGGTGGGGTCCACTACACGCTCGCTCCACAAGGGGTCACAGCTCAAGATTGAAGAAGCCGCAAGTCCAGAAAAATGTAAGGGCAAACGCTTTCGGAGTGAAGAGAGTCTGAATCTGATACTTTTTTGGGGACCTGTGGGTATGTTTATACAGTATAATAAAAGGCGTTTTTAGTCAGTCTGTGCACCCAAAATAGTATTATGTAAACTTTGAACCTCACAACATATCCATATCGTAAGATACGTATATGTTGGGGGTGATAAATTTTCCCTAACAAACCTGAATTTTCATTTAAATTCAAAGTTTCAAGTTAGCATTACACATGCTTTGCCACCCCCCTCCCCCCTCACATAAACACGAACCAAAACAGTATCGTGCCATATTTGAGCCCCTGATAAGACCCCTCAACCTCGGGCCAAAACTTACGAGGATTACAATACTAACTGTGATGGCACGATGAAGAGGTAAGGAGCGTTGCAACACAGGATATGAGCAGTGTGTGCATCGTCACGGTCAACACCCGTCTGCCAGAAGCTGCTCCTTTACTTTTTTTTACACCCCTTCATTAGTCCCTTTCTTATTTCTTATAATACTTTGTCGTTAAAATCTAGAACAGTCTTATTTTCACCCTTAAGATTGCATGTCTATTTCATTACATCTTTACTCCCTCTTGTGTGCCCTTGTTCTTTCATCTGTTGCAACCTCCCTTTCTTCTTGTCTGCTTGATGCCTCATTTCTCTACCACCATTAAATGTGTCGTTTTTACATACATTTATATTCATATCGTGTTCCTTGAATCTGCATTAGTCTCTCCTTCAGCCTTTTCCAGTGAGTGCTATTTTCCCGCCTCCCTGCCGAGCCACGTATACTAGACCTGGTGTGTAGGAAGGTGGGCGTGTACGTGGTGAGGCTGTGGCCGTGCACCACCCTAACACCAACCAGCGTTTGTGACTCCGCCCACATTAACATCCCAACTCACTTTTTTATTGTTCGTACCCTTGTTTTTCGCTGTCAGCTTCTCTCTCTTTATTCAGTACTTATTTCATAGTGATATTATATCTGAAAGCCAGCTGGTTCAAAAGTATGGGGACTATTTTGTTTACGTGTCGCGAAAGGATTAAAACACTTGCGAGCATTCATCTTCTAGGGGAGTATATATTTCACGGGGGTAGTTTTATCACTTGTCCCAACACTATCACTTCCCTCCAGACAAATAAACTCTACTTGGATGGTGTTTCACTTACAGAACAAATAATAAACAAGGTAGTGTAGCTTTCTTGAACGTTTTTATTTTTTTGCGTGCGCAAAGGAAAAATTATGTGTAAAACAATCACAGTAACTATTTAGAGAATATTTAGCATTTACACACAGAGCGCACCTGATAACTATAAATTTCTCCCCCTTTCCAGTAATAATTTCATCATTCGCCAAATTATACGTTTCAGTTTTAAACGATCACGAATGATTGTGCATAACATGTGTATGTCAGCTTCTGGGGAACATTCGGGGTTGGCTGTTAGTCTTGCAGAGTGGGTGTGCATATGCCTTCCTTCTTACAGGCGCACATGTGCCTTCCTTCTTACAGGCGCACATGTGCCTTCCTTCTTACAGGCGCACATGTGCCTTCCTTCTTACAGGTGTATATATACCTCGGCTCTCACTGACCATCACCACGATCTCATCTGCAAACTTGGTGTGAAGCTTCTGCACCATCCTCGACACCGGCTCCTACTACCACCCGAGATCCCTCGTCCGCGAATTACTATTCACCACCACAACCGCATTCAACCCACACGAGTACGTATTGATCGCTATAAGAACAGCCCAGTCCCAACCATTGTAAAAATTATCAACAACTCGTAATCAACCAGTGTATTCATTCACTCCCAGTCAATATTACCCTTTTGAACTGTCACTGTTGAAATGCCGTGTAGTATAACATCCTCCCCACCTAGTTATTATATATCATATTTGTAAGTGTATATTTTCAGCCTTTTGGCTGCCATGCTCATTCAATAAACCGTTAATTATTATTATTAGTAGTAGTAGTATTTATACCTTGCTCCATACAGGTGTACATATGCTTTGCTTCTTGCAGATGTACATATGCCCCTTTTCTTACAAGTGTAAATATGCCCCTCTTCTTTCAGGGAGAAAGCATGGCACATAGAAACTACAAGTATAAAAAGATAAATATAAATTTAAATATAAATATTTAACACATTCCGTAACATATGAAAGAAACAGAGGAGAATGTGTTCCAGTGTATACTGTGAGGAGGCGCCACTGTCACAACAACAAGGTAAGCTAATGCACCTAAACCTCATGATGTCACTATTGATACATATTGCTTCTATTTAAAAAATACAGCTCAGAGAATAATAAAATCTCAAACCAGTGAATTACCGATTGGTTTCTTATGTTATTTTTGTTTTTTGCGGAAATATTATAAACAGCGACCAAACAAATACCAGCAAACAGAACAATGGGTGAGATTTCCTTACCAGCAAACAAGATACTGTTATAAGAGGGAAAAAATGCAGTGAAAACAAATAAAAGTTATGTTGCATTATATAAGATGAGCAAGTGGAGAAATAAACAAGAAAAACACCAAAATGGTGAGAACAAAACACAAATACAACACCAATAAAACATAAATAAAACACAAATAAAACATAAATAACACATCAATAAAATACAAGTAAAACACCAACAAACCCAAATAATACCCAAACAAAACACAAAACACGAATAAAACACCAACTAAAACTAAAATAAAGCACCCAAAACCCAAACAAAAACATACATAAAACACCAACAAGCTTAATGTACAGTACAATACTATTACAGGACGACACATAATTGAGTGACCAATGGAAAAAGAGGCTACGTGTGGATATCAGTAGGTAAAATGCCACACACACACACACACACGAATAGATGAAATATAAATGTTTTTTAGTCATATTTTCAATGAAGATTTACTAATCATATATTTGTACATATGTGTCAGGTGACTTGTGTGTGTGTAGCTCTACTTACATTTACTTAACTACAGAGGAGATGACCACTCATACCCCTCCCTCTTACCACTCTGTCCACCACTAAACAAACTTATATTTCTTGAAGATTTAAGAAGATATAAAATCTGTCCTTAAAACAACGATTTAATTTAAGGAATAATAAACCTAAGACATTGAAACTATAACCATAAAGTTTTAGGCTCGTTAAACACAGATTGGTGGAGAAAACCAAAAATAGACAAGATAAGGGATAACACATATAATGGTCTGAAATTACTATACATGCAGCAGGAACCATGCGAAGGAAGAGTTAGGGAGAAGTGGAGGTAAGGGGGGTAGACAGCGGAGGTGGAAGTCTTGGGCGTTTGGTTGGTGGAGCCAAGAACAGCCACAGCAGCCTCACGCCCTTGACTATCTTTAGCGCCACACCGATTCTCCCAGAGACGCAAATGTGGACGACGACGCTCA